TTATTCTGTATTTATTAGAGTTATCTGTGTTGCTGTGGACAGCTGTGGTTTACTTTTGTATGTGGTTTCTTTGTATGATATACTGTCAATCAGTTTACTTACTCTGCCTTTGATGGACATTTAATTGCTTTCTTTTTAGGACTATTATAAATAATGTTGCCTTGGATGTTGTCTGTATTTTGTAAATTATCATTTCACAACACTTGTAATCTATATTTAAAATTGTAATATGTTTTCTGTTCTTGTGCTTTGTTTGGATATTTAGTGACTAGGTGGGTATATGGGTACAAATGGTTATAAATTTCTCTAGGGTAGCCTTTGACATTTTCTGTTTATCACAGCCTTTTAGTCTCTTTATCCTTTTGGCCTTTGCTCACTTCCTGTAAGAGAGATGGTTTCAGGGCAGTGGTGAAAATTTGAAAATAACAACAAAACATCTTGGTATTGAAAGTAAGAAATTTTTCTTTTTCTTTCTTTCTTTTTTTTCTTTTGAGATGGAGTTTCACTCTTGTTGTCCAGGCTGGAGTGCAGTGATGTGATCTCGGCTCACTGCAACCTCTCCCTCCTAGGTTCAAGGAACTCTCCTGCCTCAGCCTCCCAAGTTGCTGGGATTACAGGTGAGCACCACCATAAAATTTGACCAAAAAAAAAAAAAAAAAAAAAGGTAAAATAATGGTCAATTTCCAGTGATAATCAAGGTGAAATCTGAGAGCCTGATATGAATTAGCACCAGGCAGCTTGACCTCTATCATCAGAGTATACAATCTGGATACAGAAAAAGAGAAGATGAAGTTTTGTTTTAAAAATTTTAATAATTTTTTTCTGCACACTTAGTGACAAGAGAAGATGAAATTTAACTTAGCTGCATGCCACAGTTAATTAGGCATATGTGATAGAAAATAAGAAATCAGCGGCAATAAAATCAGTCAGGTGACTCATCATTAAGTCTAGTTTTGTGTGGTTAGGGCATGGCAGTAGTAACAAATGAGAAATTTTAAGTCAAGCCTGAGGAAGAAATTAGGCAGAGTGAATGAAATAAATACAAAGGCAAATGTTGGCCTCACAGGGTTTTTTGTTTTTGTTTTTTTAAACATCTTCATTAAAGATATTTGATGTTCCAAAGGTAGAGATGCTTCTGATCTGTCTCAGACATGCCCTGTACATGGAACTGTAGACTCACTGAGACTCACCCATTTAACTGTATCCCCACTACTGGTTCTAATTCTTGCATGAAATATTTAGACCTTTAATACATTCACTGAGATAAGAAAGGCAAGGAGGAAGTGGAAAAGGGAAAAATAGAAACAAATGTTGTTAACTCCCTAATTAATAGTCATTTTAATTTTCATTATAGGGGACGACTTAGTCCCTCAATAAATCAATTGCCATTTTGGTTTTGGATAGACGTTGTTGTCGTATGTTTGTTTGTTTGTTTTTTTGAGACAGAGTCTTGCTCTGTCACCCAGGCTGGAGTGCAGTGGCATGATCTCGGCTCACTGCAACCTCTGACGCCCAGGTTTGAGCAATTCTCCTGTCTCAGCCTCCCGAGTAGCTGGGACTACAGGTGTACCACCACACCTGGCTAATTTTTGTATTTTTAGTAGAGATGGGGTTTCACCATATTGGTCAGGGTGGTCTCGAACTCTTGACCTCAGGTGATCCACCCACCTTAGCCTCCCAAAATACTGGGATTACAGGCGCGAGCCACTGCACCTGACAGGTGTTGTTGTTTTTTACTGAGTTTATTATTATTTCCCCACTTCATGGTGGAAAAGAATGAAGGAGAGCAGGCCGGGCGTGGTGGCTCACACCTGTAATCCCAGCACTTTGGAAGGCCAAGGCAGGTGGATCACCTGAGGTCAGGAGTTCGAGACCAGCCTGGCCAACATGGTGAAACCCCATCTCTACTAAACATACAAAAATTAGCCAGGCGTGGTGGCAGGCGCCTGTAATCCCAGCTAGTCTACTCAGGAGCTAGGGGGAGGAGAATTGCTGGAACCCAGGACGCAGAGGCTGCAGTGAGCCAAGATCACGCCACTGCACTCTAGCCTGGGCAAGAGAGCAAGACTCATCTTAAAAAAGAAAGAAAGAAAGAAAGAAAGAAAGAAAGAAAGAAAGAAAGAAGGAGAGTAGAATTTGGAAGCTGAATCTGTGAATTTGGGACTCAGTTCTGCCGTTAATTGATTATGTTATGATATAAACAGCCTATGGAAAAAATGATTTTTTTTACTTCACTTATTTTCTAAAATTGTGTAAAAATATTTCACAGGTGAATGTGAGAATCATGATTACAATGTATTTGAATACAATCTTAACTGTAATACACTGTTTTGAAATTATGTTTTTGTTTATTTTATGATTTTGCTTCAATTAGTCCCTGTGCTTTGTAAACGTGTTAATAGACTTTGGGTTTTAGAAAAGTTTTAGATTTCAGAAAATATTGATCATACAGTGTAGACTCAATCAACAGCTTGATTCCAACTGGTCTCATTAGAGAATGCGGACATCTACCTTTTATGTATACATCTGTGATTCATTTCAGATTCAATTTTGTGGAAGGTTTAAAGTCTGCACATCTGTGATTCATTTCAGATTCAATTTTGTGGAAGGTTTAAAGTCTGCACACTATCTGATCTCTACCACTGCTGCCCGGATCTATTGTTACGCTGGACATGACAACACAGCAATCATCATAGATTGGCACAGAGTGACGGGCTGTTTCTGATGCAGAGGCTTCCGCTGCATGCCAGACTTGTGGTTCCTGCCTAAGATGATCCTATTGTTTTCTGGAGGAGGAGACCCCATTGCACAGGGCATTGCCCCTACCACTTTTGGCAGATTGACTACAATTGATGTTTGATCCTCTCTTGTAGCTATCAGTTGAACCTCACTTTGTGAGCACTTTCCTGGGTGACAGTATTCCTATTCCAATCTTATCAGCCAACTCAAGCCATTCCATTTGACCTGTGAAAATAATCCGTGTCAGGTTTTCAGGTTCCCAAGCCATTTACAGTCTGAAAATGGCACCCGTCTTATCAAAAGAGCCACGTATGAAGCTAAAATTTAAAGTATTTGATGGACTTCCATGCTCACTACAATCTATAGGCATCTGGTATTGTTAAGCTTTGGTATGGCCTCCTCAAAATTACACAAAAGCAATTTCTGACTCTACTTTCCTCATCTCTTCTTGGTCCACATATTATGAATTCAAGAACAGTCCCTGAACTAGTGCTGTCTTGATTTCTATTTATTTTCTGACACTATTGCTTATCTTGTGTATGTTATATAAGCTATGTTTAATGGTAACCACTGATTTTAAAAGCACCACTATGTGCAAAATAAGTCCTTAGTTTTAAATTATATTCTTCCAAAAACTGCCGCTTAAGTAGTTTTTTGCTCCTGATTGCTAAGAATAAGTTGCTTCTTCTAACATGTTATGCAAATCATGGCTTTTTTTTTTTTTTTTTCTGTATGAACAACCTTCTTGTCTGGGAGAATTAGATATAGCAGATTTGCACAGATGCATACTCATTCTTAAAGGGAATGTTTAATACGTTAAATGGCTTCTCAGATACGTATGCTATTTTCATTGTGCTTTACAATCCATTTTTTTTTTTGTAAAACATGTTAGCATCAGTTTTAATTTTTTAATTTTTATTTATTTTTTTATTTTAGCTTTAGGAGGTACCTGTGCAGGTTTGTTACATAGGTAAATTGAGTATTCCAAAGGTTTGGTTTACAGGTTATTTTATTACCCAGGTAATAAGCATAGTACCCAATAGGTAGTTTTTTGATCCTCACCCTCCTCCTACTCTCCACCCTCAAGCAGGCCCCAGGGTCTGTTGTTCCCTTCTTTGTGTCCATGTGTATTCAAAGTTTAGCTACCACTTATAAGTGAAAACATGCAGTACTTGATTTTCTGTTTGTGTCTGTGTTAGTTTGCTTCGGATCATGTCTTCCAGCTCCAACCATGTTGCTGCAGAGACATGATCTAATTGTTTTATATGGCTGCGTAGTATTCATGGATGTTTTAGTCACTTACAATTTTAGAAAAATGATTTTTAAAATGGTCTAGCTTCCTGTTTTTCTAACATAAATGCCTGAATGTGTTTTCTGGAAATCTTATTATCAAATCACATTTTATTTTTCTAAGCAGAATGAGTTCAAGATTGTGAAGGATTCTGATTTATATAAATGGGCAGTATGACAGACATTCAGGAGTTTTCTTTATGTGCATGCACTTGCCCATTATTTCTGTTTACAAATTACCTTACCTAAATACATCCAATTGAGACAAAATCTCAAAGAATGCATGTTCAGAACATGATTATAACACTTACATAATCATATATGTAACTTGTATCAATAATTTTTCCATCCTCACATTATTTCTTATTCTCATTGCATCAAAATTTTTCCTGCCTCATGTTATTTCACATTATTATCTATCTCTACATTCCTCCCTCTTTCCTCTTCCAACAAAAAATCCTTTCATGATTCTGAAGCTAATGTTGTTACCTGTGGTCATGCTTGTCCAAATGATAACGATGCTAATGTGATAGTTAATAGCGGTCACCCACATCCAGGCTTGCAAATCTCAGTTTTGATTTCCTTCTCCTCTGTTAAGCGAAACCTACTGCTTCTGGGCCAGATACACAGATTTGACTTTCAACATCTCTTGCAGTAGAATTTTATTATTTTTCATCAGAAATGTCTTTCTCCTTTCTCATGACCCAAGTTAGAATTACCGAGAATCATTACAATAACATCAGTGGTCTAGGTGCTAAATGTCCTTTCAAGGGCTAGCAACACTGTGGTTGGAAGTGTTTGTACAGAGGAACGCACCATGAAAGGATGTGTCAGTGACACTTTTTGCACACCTACAGTATATTAACCAGATGCCTGATGTTTAAATGAAAAATAATCACTGGATTAAATGAAGGAGAAAAATCTCTTTTCCTTTCTGAAGAAAAAATTCAACACGGGGTATATCAGAATGGAGATGGGCCATATCAGAATAAATATTTATTGAATAATTATATGGAAAACATTTAAGTAGCCAATATTCTAGCAAAATACAGCAGAATACTTAATCAGAACCTAGTTTTTATTTTTTTACTATTAATTGCAAATAGATTTTTTAGCTACCCATAGTCTAGACAATATTGTGTAGAGCAGCAGGATGACGTTCATGCCATTCTCCATTGTTGAGTATCAGAAGATGCCAAGAGTTCAGGACAGATTCTAGCCATTTCCAGGACCTGAAAATGAGGAAGGAGCTAGAGAATTATGTACTTTTTCCACTTTCTTCTCCTAGCTTCTCTTCTCCTACCAATGTCTCCCAGTGGTTGAAAACAGACAGAAGCCAGAGGGTGAGGAAGACTGTGTGATGCAGTTGTTAGAACTCAGCTGCACAGAATGCAGCAAAAAAGCATGGAGAATGGAGGTGAGGTGTGGTTTGAAAAACAGGTGTTGAGAATCATGCTTCCTGAAGCCTGTAGTAGTAGAGTTGTGAAAGATCCACTGGGAACCCACTGCACATCCATAGGAAATAAACTATGTGTGAATGTTTCTTGTGGGTAAAAGGTGTCCAAATGAGAGCAGGGAATAACCTGGACTCATCCTAGATTCTGTAGTAGGCTGAATAATGGCGCCCAGTATATCCAGGTCATAATCATTGGAAGCTGTGAATGCTACCTTATAGGGCAAAAAATACATAGCACAAGTGAGAAGAGATTGAGGATCTTGAGATTGAAGGATTATTTTGGATGATCAAAGTAAGCTTAAAATGTATCCCAAGTATCCTTACAAAAGGGATGCAGAGGGAGATTTGAGTAAAGAAAAGGAGGAGGCAGTGCAATCATGGGAGCAGAAGCTGGAATGACAAAACCACAAGTGAGGGAATACTGGCAGACACGAGAAGCTGGGTGAGGGAGAGGAACAGATTCAGCCCTGCTGTAACCTTAGTATTAGTTCCATAAGACTTTTCAGACTCCAACCCTCTAAACCTGTAAGAGAATAATTTTTGTTGTTTTTATCCACTAAATTTGTGCTTATTTGTTACAGCAGCAATAGCATAATTAGACAGCTGCCATGCATGAAGAGTGATGGGTGGGATATAGAGCTCTAACAGAAAATAGAGACACCTGGTTTGAGGGTGAGGCAGAATCAAAACCACACAACACACCAGAGCAGGTTCATTACCCATGTCAGGAGCTGTAGCTGCAGGGCTCTGTAGGGATGTATCCAAGAACTCCCTGAGATTCTCTCCCGAGACAAAGAGAGAAGTCATCTACACTACCTTTTTCTGTGCTGATTTTCTCATCTGAGTTCAGTTGGAGCCAAAGGAAAAAGAAAAACTTTAACTTTGCATAAAATTCAAAAATTTTGTTAGTATATGGATTTAGGAATTTGAATTCCTGAAATGACATGTTCCTATGACTGAAAATGACTGAGAGACAATTATCTGAGAATTACTTACATAGTTGGAGACTCCAGGGAAGCAGGTGAAGAGCAAGACTACATATCCAGTTTAGAGGGAAATTGAGGGAAACCTTGGCCGTAAACTTACACAGGCAGTATCTGAATTATTCTAATTGTTTTGGTTACATAAATAGAATTCCGAAATCTTGAGAAACAATAATTCCCATACAAATGTAAGCCTTTTAATCTGAATTCTGTTAAATATACCAATAACCACTAATCTCTTCTAGGTTTAATCTTCTGGTTTATCGTTTTTGTGAATTTGAGAATAAAATACTCTGATGGTTATATGTCACTCTTCTATTCATTATTTGTATAAAAATATAAATATTTGATTTCTCTAACATTGCCTATAATTTTGTTTAATGTCAGCATTACATAATAAAATACTTTCTCCATAAAGTTACAAATATCAAATATGAAAGCACGTATACACACACACACACACACACATATATACATATATATATTTTTTTGAGACCGAGTTTTGCTCTTATTGACCAGGCAGGAGTGTAATGGTGTGATCTCGGCTCACTGCAACCTCTGCTTCCCAGGTTCAAAGTGATTCACTTGCCTCAGCCTTCCTGAGTAGCTGGGATTACAGGCATGCACCACCATGCCCGGCTAATTTTGTATTTTTAGTAGAGATGGGGTTTCTCCATGTTGGTCAGGCTGGTCTCGAACTCCTGACCTCAGATGATCTGCCCGCCTCGGCCTCCCAAAGTGCTGGGATTATAGGCATGAGCCACTGCGCCTGGCAAATAAAAATATAATTACTCTAACGTTCATATATAGTATTATGTTTAAAATGGTATGCCACTTTATATTTTGGCTTTAAGTTGCTGGTCCTGTGACCGACCTTTGGCTTCTTGCTCTGTTGTAAGAAATATTGTGGCGCATACATAATGATGTGGGTACAAAGTTAGAAGATGTGTTCAAGGAAGGCATCCCAAAGGAGGTGTCATTTGAGTAATGTCAAATGAGTGACATTGGACAGTAGAGAGCTTCTAAAATATTTGAGAAAGGAACTGTTCAAATAGTGGACAGTCTCTAAAACATAAAACCGAATGGTTTGTTTGAGAAATAGCATTAGGGCTAGATCAGAGGGAGGGACTGAGCAGAAATAGGCAGACATAAAGACAGAGAAATTGTCAGGGGAACACGAGTGTAGTAGATATTATTCAAGGTAGGTTGATGTATTCGTGAATGTCCAGGCAGGAAAACAAATTCTGTGCCAAGTCATTACATAGAGGGAAGTTAACACAGGAGGGTATTTACCAAACAGTTGGAGAACTCCAAGAGTCAGTCAGGAGAAAGAAGACAATTCAGATACGGGCAAAACAGAAAGTTGGTACTATTCCCAGAGCTAGAGAAACAAGGGAGCAGGTGGGCTCACCAGAACCACTTGATGGGACTGGCACCACAGTGGCTGGTGCCTGCCAGGAGGAAGTTGCTATTTGGCAGCAGTTCAAACCACATAGCATGAAGGAAGGACAAAAACACAATTCCACTTGTATGAGGTGTCTCAAATAGCTTCATAGAAGCAAGGAGCAGAATAGTCGTTACCAGGGACAGTGAGGAGCGGAAAATGGGGATAAGGTTTTAGTAAAGCAAAATGAGTAAGCTCTAGGGATCTGCTGTACAACATTGTGCCTAGAGTTAACAATATTGTATTGTACATTTCAAAATTTGTTAATAGAGTAGATCTCATGTTGTATTCCTATCACAATAAAATAAATATTAAAATTAAACAAAACAGAATAGTACATAGCATCTGTGGCCACTGCTGGAGACAAAGCCTGAAGCAGAGAGGGGAAAGACAAAGTAACAGGCTTCTCCCCTCTTCCCACCTTCCAAATCTCAACCCAGTGGCTCCAGTGACTGCACCTACCTGGAAGCTGGTTAGCCATGGAGGTGGTGAAACATGTGTTGCAGGAATCAGCACCCTAAGAAAGAAGCAGAACAGAGGAAATCCAGGCAGGACAAAGAGAAAAATGACTGACGGGAGGGGGGAAAACCAAATCTATCAAAGCACAGAACCATAATATTTTGGGAAAGATACTTTTCATAATCAAAAGTAAGACTTGTTGGCTGGGCGCGGTGACTCACGCCTTTAATCCCAACACTTTGGGAAGCTGAGGTGGGTGGATCACCTGAGGTCAGGAGTTTGAGACCATCCTGGCCAACATGGTGAAATCTCATCTGTACCAAAAATACCAAAAAAAAAAAAAAAATTAGCTGGGCACGGTGGCAGGCGCTTTTAATCCCAGCTACTTGGGAGGCTGAGGCAGGAGAATCACTTGAACAGGGAGGTGGAGGTTGCAGTGAGCCCAGATGGCGCCAGTGCACTCCAGCCTGGGTGACAAGAGTGAAACTCTGTCTCAAAAAACAAGAACAACAGCAACAAAAGACCTGTTAACACAATATTCTGTGAAGAGATTCAACTTATCATGTCCAATCTATACATAGGTTTACTATAACATGTGTGTAAAATCACTCAGATAAATTACCATTAAGAAACCACATGTGGAGGGGCTCAGTAAGGGGGGAATAGGCGTTTTGAACAAAGAATTGAGTATACTTTAATCCACATACTGACACAGGAGATAAGTCTCCAATTCCTTATCCATAAAGCTAAAAACCAAATATCTATAAACAAAATGTTTTCATTAGTTTGGTTCCAAAACCTGAACTTAGCTAATCGTAGTTTTTGTTTTATACATTTTGCTGTGGAAATATTAATGTGTTTGGTTACAGGGTGAATCATCAAATGCCAATGGGGCTGTTAATTCATGTATGTATAAACACATTTATTTTAAAATACAAACTAATAAATTTTAAAATACATTTCTATCCATAAATTCCAGATAAGAAATTAGGGTCTCTGGGCCAGGCGCGGTGGCTCATGCCTGTAATCCCAGCACTTTGGGAGGCCGAGGCAGGTGGATCACCTGAGGTCAGGAGTTCGAGACCAGCCTCAACATGGAGAAACCCCCATCTCTACTAAAAATACAAAATTAGCCAGGCGTGGTGGTGCATGCCTGTAATCCCAGCTACTTGGGAAGCTGAGGCAGGAGAATCGCTTGAACCTGGGAGGCAGAGGTTGTGGTGAGCTGAGATGGCGTCATTGCATTCCAGCCTGGGCAGCAAGGGCAAAACTCAGTCTCAAAAAAAAAAAAAAAAAAAAAAGAAATTAGGGTCTCTGAATCCTACACATCATTTAGTTTCCTCCTAAAAGTTTTTAAATGTATGGTGAGAAAACTGTATATAAAAGAATAATCTCTGGCCTATTCCTGTGAGAGTTCTCTTCATTATCCGGCTCTACTGATGTTGCCAGTGTACCGCGCTAGCAAAGTTGTATATTAACCTGGAGTAAAATACCATTTCCGTATTTTCAAAATACTTTACTTCTATTAATAAAACAAATTCTTACCTTTAGATTGTGTTGTTGCTAAAATTGAAATTTAAGTAGAGAGTCTTGTGACTGATAGAAATGGTTGGCTTCTTTTAAAAACACTCTGGCCAGATGCGGTGGTTCACGCCTGTAGTCCCAGCACTTTGGGAGGCCGAGACGGGCAGATCACGAGGTCAGGAGATTGAGACCATCTTGGCTAAAAAAAAAAAAAAAAAAACAGTCTGTAAAATCGTAGCTGGTCAAGTCACTTTTATTCCAGGAATTATTTTTGCCATACGCAATTTTTCTTTTCTTCTCGCGTGAACCATTTTTATGTCTAGTCTCAAAAATTTCTGTTACAGTCACCATTCTGTCATGATAAGGGTTCAGAAATAACTCAGGGACAAACCATTCCTGTCATTAAGCTTCCAATATTAAATAAGTCCTTTGTGTATCAATAGTCACCATGATAATTTTTCACAAGGTATTATTTAACATCTTTCTTCATGGTACCTTAAAGTTTTTTTGTGTGTGTTTCTCTTTACCTGCCCATTATTTCCACCTACAAAACATGCTATGTCTAAGCACATTATCAGAAGAAAATTTCCAGTTAAAAATCATCTCATTGAAAATATGACTAGTATTTATAGTCCAATCGATGCTTTATGATTCTTATGTTATTTTTTTCTTTGTGACTGACTCCTTCCTATTCCCTCCTCTTCTCTTAACAGGTGAATAGTGTTGTAGTTCTAAGTTTAGTAATGTTTCCTATGGTTACACTTGCTGGAATAACAAAAACAGTGCAGTTATAGTGGTAGTGATCAGCCGCATCCATGCTTGTAAACCTCAGTTCTGGTCTCTTCTCTCCTCCCTAAGCTATGTCTTCTGTTTTTTGCGCAGGTAAATTACTTCAACTCTCAATATTGTATGAAACAGCCTCTTATTGTTTTCGCCAGACACGCCATTTCCTCTACCCATTACCCATCCACTTTATCCCCTACCTCCTGCGGTCACACCAAGACCAGTGTAGGTGTTAACTGTCATTTCAGGCAGCAGCTACTCTGTGGTTGGAAACATTCTGTACCGTATAGTGTGATGTGTCAGCCACACCTGTTACACATAAAGTGTACTGATGACTGAGGTCTCATAGGGGGCCAGGGTCCTATCAGAATCCAGAGATTTCTATGAAAGTTTAAAGTTCAGTCTGCAAACTCACTGTAACTAATAATGAATACCTTATGTCCTATCAATATGTTTCTTAATGGTTTTGAGCACAAATTAGGTGTTAAATACCCTATATGTTTATACATTAAACCATTCTCAGAACATATTGCCAATAAATTATTTAGTTGCATTTTACGTTTTACAGAGGATGGAAAAGAATCTTAAAGGGATTATGTAACCTACTCGAGTTTACAAGCTACCAAAAGCAGAATCAAGCACTTGAAACTATTCACGTTTGACATCTTGTATTTAGCAGATTGAAGAAACAGACAGAACAATTACCTGATAAGGACTGATTAGAAATTAGTTTGGAATGCAAAATGGTCTTTGAATCATCATTTCATTTTGCTTGTGGCGCTTTTTTTTTTTTTTTTTTTTTTTTTGCGGAGACAGGATCTCACTTTGTTGCCCAGGCTGGTCCTGAACTTCTGAGATCAAGTCATGCTCCCACCTTGGCCTGCCAAAGTGTTGGAATTACAGGCATAAGCCACTGCACCTGGTCCTGTAACTGTTTATATACAGTTTTGTTCTTATAAAGAACCTCATTGGGCACCGGGCGCAGTGGCTCACACCTGTAATCCCAGCACTCTGGGAGGAGAGGTAGGTGGATCACCTGAGGTCAGGAGTTTGAGACCAGCCTGGCCAATGTGGCAAAACCCCATTTCTACTAAGAATACAACAATTAGATGGGCATGGTGGCACTCCTATAGTCCCAGCTACTGGGGAGGCTGAGGCAGGAGAATGGCTTGGGAGGCGGAGGTTGCAGTGAGCTGAGATTGCACCACTGTACTCCAGCCTGGGAGACAGAGCAGCACTCTGTCTCAAAACAAAAACGAAAAAAAAACCCTCTTTTTAAAAATTGTTTGTTGTGTTTTTTTGATAATTAAAAACCATGGTGAAACTATACCTAAAGCAAAGATGAATATGCATTGTATGGCACAGGTTTGAAGTTAGACAGCCATGGGAGAGTGCAAAGGTATCTATGAGATTGGCATGATCAATAAGTATTTGTCATTATTTGTTTCATACACAAATACATGCATACATACAAATAACTCTGAAAATTTTTTTTTATTTAACACTCGGACCTCTCACAGATAGGTTGCAAAAAAATGTTATATAAATAATGAGAGCGTTTCCTCCCATGAAACCTAACTTCAAACAAATCCAAATAAATTTTAAGTTTTAAAAAAGACCACCCATTTTAGTGCCAACATCCTTTTCAAGTGAATTATTCATATACTGAAGTATTATAAAACCCATAGTTAGATATTGCTATATATAGACAGATACTTTTATGAATTAAATTATGCTTCTTAGAAGACAGAGGCATGAAAATAGTGAAACTAGGAAATAAAACAGGTAACTAAAAACTCACTAGAACTTTAAAAATCACCCCTAGGTTATACAAAACTATGGGGATAAGTTAGTTTAATTATCTGTCTAAATATGGATTTTACCTCTATAAGAAAGATCAGGCCAGGTGCGGTGGGTTATGCCTATAATCTCAGCACTTTGGAAGGCTGAGGCAGGTGGATCATGAAGTCAGGAGTTCGAGACCAACCTGAGCAACGTGGTAAAACTCCGTCTCTATTAAAAGTACAAAAATTAGCCGGGCATGGTGTTGCGTGCCTGTAATCCCAGCTACTCAGGAGGCTGATGGAGGAGAATCACTGGAACCCAGGAGGTGGAAATTGCAGTGAGCCAAGATTACACCACTGCACTCCAGTCTGGGCAACAGAGCAAGACTCCATCTCAAAAAAAACAAAAAAACAAACAAAAAAACAAAAGATCAGTCGGTACATAGTCAAGTGTGTGTGCATGCACATATATGCATATGTGTACATTATGTAAATATATGTTATTATTATATAATAAACCTACATTCAATATATCTGTGGTGACTTATCTACCTAAATTTGAACAAAAACTAAAAATTCCCAGCACAATTGAGGCAAAATAAAATATAATTTTCTTACAGTTATGAAAAATGACTCTCTAGATTTTAATCCGTTAGAGGTAGAGGTAGACAAAGGTTAGTGAGACTCAGCTTGACCACTGCTTGGGCTGACTTTGAGCATGTTTCCTTGATAATCTCCTGTGTCTTCAACTATGAAATTTAAGAACTAGTACTATCAATATCATAGGATTTATGAAGATTAGATGAAGTAAATGTTACAAAATAATCAAACACAGAGCCTGGCATAAAGTAAACTCAAAAATTGTTGATGGTTTTATAGATAATCATTAAATATAATCAATTATAGACTACATACATCACTATGAAAGAATTAGAGGTAGATTATAAAATATTACTCATAATCCTTTATAAGACTCTTTTTCTAAGATTCATTTCAGGCTACTGGAACTTGAGAATGTATAAATTGTTTAATGCGTACCAAGTAAGTGTTTAGTCACAAAATGTTAGAAGGTGAGTTGGTTAGTCTGATAGAGTTTTACTGGTCTGATTCTTCATTTCCTGTTTGTGTATTTATGTGTCTTACTATTCTGAGTTAGGGAATCCTTTTACTTCCCATGTCTCTTTTTCTCTATGCCAAAGTTCCATCAGCAGACACTGACCACAGAGCTTTGCAATGTAGACAGTTTTGCCGAAAGGCTAAGACAGAGGCTCGGTTCCACTTCACTGACACTTAGTGACATTACGCAGGCTTTGGACTTTAGTAAGCGACCAATATGTCGACTTCGGTTTGTTCTTTCAGAATGAGAACCCTAAGGGCCACCCAACAGTTCACCACAGAGAAACTTGTTTCCAGCCACATAGGAGTTGACAAGCTGCAGCTGCAGCTGAGCTCTTTGCAACTCTTTCAGGAGGTTCTTACGCCTTGCTAGGTCCCATATGAGGCACTAATCTATTATTTAGAAAAGATACATATTAAGGACTCTAATTAAGAAATTTTGAAACAAGTTATGTTTTCTTCACTCTGGCTTCATGAACTTCTTTCTATGCTAAACAATCAGGGAGACTGTCAATGTTTTATTCAAAATATGTATTACTAATTCTGTGATCACTATTTGCACACTTCTTTTACTACATAAACATGTCACTTTGTAAATAGCTACTGGGCAGTGTAGATTTACTTGCATGCATAACTTGAACATTATTTTGTTTCTTTTGGATCCTGCCTATTCCCAAACCACATGTGGAATTGGTAGTTGCTTTGGTTTGGTTTGTTTATTTCCTTATTTCTTTTAGTGGGAAGCAGTTTTCTGGATTCTTTTAACTTGATGCAGATGCAAAAAGGGGAAATGTTTGTGTAATGTATGTGGTCAATATCCATAATTGGATTTATATTTTTTTTTTCAGATGGAGTTTTGCTCTTGTTGCCCAGGCTGGAGTGCAATGGTGCAATCTCGGCTCACTGCAACCTCCGCCTCCCAGGTTCAAGCGATTCTCCTGTGGAGTAGCTGGGATTACAGGCACACACCACCACGCCCAACTAGTTTTGTATTTTTAGTGGAGATGGCGTTTCTCCATGTTTGTCAGGCTGGTCTCGAACTCCCGACCTCAGGTGATCCACCCACCTCGGCTTCCCAAAGTGCTGGGATTACAGGCGTGAGCCACTCCGCCTGGCTGAATTTGCAATCTTTAGTTAAAATTGAAACTGTAAAATGATGCCATATTTGAAGGAACAACAACAAGGCAGTTTCCAATGCCCAAAATATAACTGCAAAGGCATTGGACAACATAGATTAAAATGGTATGTTGAATGAGAACTGAAAGTCAACATAGCAAACATCTACCATGGCAAATATTTTGTTACTTGGATTGTAGCTACGAAATGGTCATCTCTACTCCTTGGGAAAGGCCAGAGCAAGACCTATAAAGTCAACTCTTAGAAAAGTTCCATGGATAAAATGAATGACCAATAAGAAGCTGGCTATTTAATTTAAAATGATGTTAGGATCTTTAACTCTAGGAATAATCAGAGGTAGAGGAATTTAGAATAATCAGAGGTAGAAGGAATT